CTGAACTTCTGAGAGCAAGAAGAAAAAGCATTACAGAATAATAAATTTAGGACGCCCAACATTTTCGCTTCCACATGAGGTACCTTGATTACAGACTAAACATACCGATGGTGGGAGAAACTGATGAGTAAAAAAGGGCTTGTAATTTCTTGTGCCCGTCACCACTATATTGATGCCTAAATTTGTCTGACATTAGCTTCCAAATCAGAAATAGGGGTATAAAGGCACAAAAATAGTCATATACCCTGTGAAAGAAATTTACCCATTGCAACAAGATGTCAAGGGGATTCATAAGCCTCCCTCTCCTACCATCTTCGAGTCAAGGCAGGATATTTTAATGAAAAATGGACTTCAGTAGACAAAGTTACGAGGCTCACTGCAAGGATAACTGAGAGATATCCTGTGGCTTGTGTTACTAGATCTGCAGATATTAGGCCTCTCTGGTCTTAAAATATCTGGATCTCTGAATCATTTTGCTTGTGGTACTGTAACATAAAAGGGTCACGTTGGAAAACATGCTTCCAGCTTAACTGCAAGAAAAGGAATGATGAAGGTAGTTGGTTCCTTCTTTGTTGTTTCATCATAGACTTTATTTCTAAGTTTCCGTTAATTACAAGAAAGGATCAAAATCGTTCCTTGCAATAATTAAGTCTTCAAAAATTCTCTTCCTAATTTCTTCCAGGCTGTGGGATATCGAGTGCGGGGCATGTTTACGAGTACTGGAAGGCCACGAAGAGTTGGTGAGATGTATACGCTTTGATAACAAGAGGATAGTCAGCGGTGCATATGATGGGTGAGGCTGTCAGTGCAGTCTAGATACCTTGTATCCTCCTGTCTCTTTTTGTCTCTCACATCCTGCTTTGCTAGACATTCCTTATAAAGGTTAGAGTCCTTGTCTGTCGTAGTGAGAGGCTCTTTTCATGGCCAGTAAATGAGAAGCATGCTGCAAAGTACACTTTCTTTTCTTCCTTCGAAAAAAGTCAGTGTGGTTTGATGTGTGTAGTCCAGTTCCTTAGCTCATAAGAACATCTAACAGACTTGATCTGAAACCTCGTCTAGTTGAACCACTGGTAAGAGCAACCTGCAGTTCTCTCTCTGTGAAAGTAAGGTTTTTGTGGCAGATCAGAAACCTGTCCATAATCAAAAAATGCTACTGCTTTTTTACAAATGCAGCACATCTTTTTAACAGCGTTTAGTTGTTCTGTGTGCATGTTTGCATGTATCACTCTTCCCCATAGCAAGAGATCAGGTCATGGCTACCTGCGCTTGGTTTGATAACAGAAACAAGGCTCATATAGCAGTTTAGCAGTATCGTTCTCTCTTGCCCTTTTATGTTTAACTCTTACAATTTCCCGGTTTTGATGCCTTTCCTAGTATATGTTCTAAGACAGGATGATATCCATCTCCCTCCAGGCCTCAGCAGAAGTCTGCATAGCTGAGTTTTTTAGCTGTATCCCAAACCTCTGAGAATTTGTTAGCAGTGCTGGTAGCAGTGTGTGAGCTGTGGAAGAAGGGAATGTTTCTGATCCTTCCCTCTGAAACGTTCAGCATTTGCTGATTCAGGGGGAGACATGTCTGAAATTTTCCATGGAAACCACCTGCAATTGCTATTTGCAACAACTTGCTGTTGCCACAAGTTTAGGTTGAGCAATTTTATTATGCGCCACTGCTGTCCTTAGAAAAGAGAAAGACTGGTATCAGGTAAAGGGGAGGAGGAGTTCCTGCTTAGAAAGTCAGATAAGTGCAGGGGCTGACACACAAGAATATTTTCTAAGATAGTAGCACCTGCCTTACACAAATCCTCACATTCTTTCCCAACTGGGATTGTGTCTTTTGGGGCATTTGGCCAGGTGTCTGCGCTAATTCTCTTCCATGTTTCTATGTTATTGTCACCTGCTTTTGTGTGTTTTACTTTATGTTAACAGCACATTTTTCTCCCATTAAGCTCTGGGAGCTTTACAGAGGAGAAATGCAAGAAGCAGGTCTCAAGAGCAGAAAAAATTCTGTAATTTTCCATGAACTTGTGTATTAGCTGAGTTGTGCTAGTAGTTAGTTTTTCTCAGTGAACACTTCCTTTCTTCTCTTTAACAGAGCCATGATGTTTGTCTATTTTTTCACTACTAGGAAAATTAAAGTGTGGGATCTGGTGGCTGCTTTGGATCCCCGTGCTCCAGCAGGGACCCTCTGCCTGCGAACCCTTGTGGTAAGAGCTTTTGGTAGGGGTTGTGGAGAGGGTAGAAGAGCGAGATTGATCAGGACAATTTGAGCCATGAAAGCTCAAGTCAGTTTAGCTTCAGTATGCAAGAACTAGAAAACAGGGTCCCAAGAAAGCTGCAGGTTTACTAAAAAAAGAGGGAGCTTGAGGAGCTTGAAAGTAGTTGTCTAATATAGATTTGATAGACAGTCATAGAGGGTCATTTATCTCCCGCATAGTCCTGTCATCACTGCACTATTTTGCATCACTGTAAAACTGAGGATTATCTTCAAGTAGATGTATTGGTTTGTACTACCATTAGGCATAATGCACATACTTCCATATGGCTAGAGGAGGTAGTTATATCTTTTTATTTGTGTTTTGGGTGGAGGGGGTCTGACTTCTTAGGGAGTCCAACTTTTTTTTTTTTTTTAACATTACAGGGTAATTAAAAATTAGAACCTATGGCAGTTTCTTTCATTTTTGAAGTTTTATTCTCTGACTTTAAGTTCATAACTAAATCCGTTTATGAGACTTGTCCTCTTGTCCTTCTTGGAATCCATGTGCCAATGGGTTTTCTTCAGCTCACGTATATATCTAACGATGTAGTCCATGCTGTCGGAGTTGTTGACATGAAGTTTCCTGAAGAAAGGTAGTACGTTCCAAATTTTGGAGGAACACGAGCAAAAGCAACCTTGAAATTGCTTTTAACTGGCTTTTGGGTGCTTAAGGAAAGAGAGGCTGATGACTGGAAGGAACAAACAGTGAAACTGTCTCATCCTTAGACAGTGACTACACTGGCGTTGCTCTCATGCTGTCTGTTGATATGTAGTGGAGGTCTGATGATGGTGTGGTGAAAATGTCAGTGTGTGAGTGATAACATCATTCACAGCCATGCTTAGCAGTGGCTTTTCACTGGTTTTAGAATACTGTGGGAAGGTTGTGAGAAAAATGCCACTGCAGTCAAGGCCGTGGGATGGTTCCTGTAAGCATCTCTGCATCCCATTCACCCCTAAAACTTGCAGTGTTGCTGCTCTGACAATATTTGACCTGGGGATAAACGAACATTTCAGTCCGGTACCAAATTCACATTGAAAAAGAAGTACTGAAGTTCTTGTTTTTAGAAATGTTTGGGCTATGATGCAGTCAGTATACATTAAACCTGCTGTGTTCCTGCTGTGGCGTGCAACTGATGTCTTTGCTTTAAACCAACAGCGTACTGAGGCTGTCTGATTCTCTAAACATGTGGTTACGTCTCATCAGCTGAGCTGCTCTAGGTGACCTGTGCACTCATCGACCACCTGAATTGTCCCTGTTGCTATACATTTCACTAATGTATTTTACTTCCCATTTGGCACAGGCTGCGAGGGTTTACAATGACTCAACTGACAGGCAGTAGCTCATTAAGCCACGCTAACTCTTTTTCAATCATGTATTCGAACCATAAGCTGCAGAGTACGAGTCTGTGAGAGCCTTGGATGCCTGCAGGTACTATGTTGAAAAACATTCTTGTTAGCCAAATAAAACCGCATATAGTTTCATGGCTGAAATCCAGAAAAACCTTTTGTCATTGGCCACTCATTTGCAAACTGTGGAACAGCTCTGCGCCCATGAGCACATATCTTGACAATCTAAGACTTCAGCATGCTATTAGTAGTGTTCCTGCTCCAGCCTGAGACAAATGTGTGCCTAGTAACCTGTAGCCTTAATTTAACTACTGTGATTTCCTCTACATTTTCCAGCAGTGGACAGCCCAAGTGCCCCAACTAATTATATTATAAATCAGAAGCGGTGGGATGGAAACGCTGTAGGAATCTCAACACATGGATACTCATAAATCCCTATTTGATAGCAATGGAGGAGGCCAAAAGAGGAGGGGCAGAGGAGGCTGTTGTGGTGCTTTTAGGGCTTTTCATGTTTATGACAACAGGGTGTCCTTATACCCACTTACCCTTTTTTTTTTTTTTTCGTCTCTTCCCTCGGCCTCCAAAATTAAACCTGGCTGCACAATGAACATCGTGAGTCTCCTGCTGCTCGTGTTCAATTTTCAAACAGTAGGAGGAAAGCATGTAGATAACGAATGCTCGCTGCATGCCAGGTCCTTTCCGGTTTTGTCTTCTGTTAGCTGAAAGAGAGTATGAGTTTGACGGCAGCTTTCCAGGCTCAGAATAAGCACACAATGCAGCTTTCCTTATCAGCTAAAGAATCCAAGTCCCTGTGGCCTCCACTTGTGAGGTGCAGTCTGTTTATTGCCCCCGCCACTGCAGGTGCTATTGGACTTTTATGACAACCTTCCTTAGCCTGCAGTGACTGGGGGAAAAGAAGAGTTTTCGAAACAGTTTTTGGACATACCCATCTCTCTCAGTGTCTCTGTGAGCGAGCGGGTCCCTCAGTGGATCTGGCTGTTGTAGTGATATTTTTCAGCAGGGACTTCTTTACTTCACTGATGTATCATAGAAACTGGAAACAGAGTTCCCTTTGGAATAGGTGGGGTGTCAGGAACCAATAAAGTGTTTTTAAGACAAATTCAGATTATTTGTTTAGAAGTTCAGGAAGGTTCCAGTGATTGGATTTTTTTTAAATTTATCTTACAAATAGAATCTGACTTTGGTGTGTGCATTTTCAGTTAATTTGAAGATTTAAAGATTCCCTTAAATCAGCTGTTGTGTTCTTTCCATGCTTTGCAAACCAAACTTTGTTTCTGGAATCCGGTGCCATAAGACAGAGGCTTCTCATTTAGTAATCAACTATTCTCTTTTATCTGAATATTTGAAAAATCTGTGTTTTTAGTATTAGAATATTGTTAACCACATTTCTGTTCCTGACCCTAGGCCTCTTGCACCATGTGAGCACTGCAGAGAAATATATATTAATGGAAGAGATAGGGCTTGCCCCACTTGCATGGTTTCTGTTCCCTTCTCACTGAGGAGGAGGCGGCCACTGCTCAGTCTTGCAGCAGTAGGCACTGAGAAAAAATAGCCGGCAAACAAGGGAAAGCATAGTGGATTTGCTCTGCAATATCCAGGATCTTGCCATTGCTTCCTGTTAATTGCAGTCTGAACTCTTGCCAAATCATCATGCCTTTTTCACTCAGCCTTAGAGCAGAATGCAAACTGCCTGTAAAGAATGCCCTTTCTAGATCATATTTTTAGAACTGCTTAAGAGGAATTATTACTGTGTCACTGGACTTTACAACAGTCTCCTCAGTGTCCTCCAGTGTTAAGCTCTTTCCTCTTCAGCGGTAGTGATGATGTCTAGTCTTGAATGCAAAATTCTCATCTCTTCCCCTTTAACCTACTGCATATGGCAATAATGTGATTTTGGGAAAGAATTACACAGCAGAGCAAGAAAGACAAAGCATCAGGCTGAATTGTATTGTAGAGGGAGCTTGGTTTGTTCTTCACAGGGTGTGTATGGGGACTGAAGAGGTAATGGGGTAACTATAAACTTCCTGCAAGCCCAAAACTCAGAGATGGCAAGCTCTCTTCACCTCACTGAAAGAGGGCTTAGTTTATGCTGTGTGAGTGGTGATGTACAATGTGTCATGTGGGATTTACTCACTGAGATATTCATTCAACCCTAGAACTGAGCCCAAGTTTGTCTTCCCTGCTCTATCCCAGGAGCCAGCAGGTGTGTGAAGTAACATGCTGCATCTCCTGCTTGCATTTAGGAGCATTCTGGAAGGGTCTTTCGACTTCAGTTTGACGAATTCCAGATCGTCAGCAGCTCACATGATGACACCATCCTCATCTGGGATTTTCTGAATGATCCAGCTGCCCAAGCAGAATCCACTCGTTCCCCGTCCAGAACATACACCTACATCTCAAGATAAATAACACTACACTGTACCTCACACTTGCACAGGTAAGAATAAATACATAAATAAAAAGAGGCTCAAAGGTGATACTGGATGTAGTGCCAAGCATGCTGCTAGCTGGACCAGTCAGTATTTCTCATCTTGGATGAGCAGCAATTACAGTGTCCTGTAAAAGGGCAGAGATGTTTTTGATACCTTAGAGTAGGGGCTTTATCCTAGGATTTGTGGCATGTGGTGCCTATGAATTTCCCTGAGGAACCTTTCCTCCTCTGTCTGTCGTCATCAACAATTAAATCAGCTATCACTGCTATCTAGAAAGGAGGAGGGTTTCTGCAGAGCGAGTAGAGCAGCTGCTGCCTAACAAGGGGATGCAGATGGCCTGACCCTGGGCAGTTGTCACCAGGCAGGAGGATTTTGCCAAGAAGCGTCAGCTTTGTTCCCTCCCTCTGAAGTGGTGACCGTTCTTCTTGCTCTGCAGCAAGCTAATTCAAGAGAACAGTTTGGCTGGGAGAGGAGACGCTGAGGCACAAGCCCAGGCAGATTAAATCAAGATGCGTCAATGTGCAAAATCATTTATTCATAAGGCCTAGCCCTCCTTCTCTTTACCTACTACCGCATATGTGTTAAACTGCTAATGTCAGAGCTCGACTGGTTTGCTCATCATCTCACCCTTTTGTATTGGACAACGCAGTGTGGGGAAGAGATCGTATTTCTTACGCTTGAGTCAGTTGCAGAGTAGATTTGATCCTTGAGAGCGGAGTGGGACAGGCATGATTGCTCACTTTGGTGGGCATCACCCCTGTTAGCGGCTGGAGAAAAATGGCAGAAGGGCTGACAGACTTCTGCAAGAAGATGTTCACAGTGACAGTGACCATGCAAACGCTCTGTTATGGAGCACATCCTATATTCTGTCTGTCTGATGGATAAATATACAGTCATGCTCCAGAGCTGTCAGCCCAGCAGTCTCCATTTTCCTGAACACGCTGGTCAGTCAGGTGTTCTTTTAAATCTTTAAAAGGTTTAGTACGAACAGGATTTGTTTGTTTTGTTCTGTTTTTTGTTTCCAGGACTCATTTAAGCTGCAGTATTTAAATTATCTGCCAATGCCAGGACAAAAGAACTATCCACGTAACCAATACTTGCTGAAGAGAGAGGCTCTCAGACTTGTTTCTGGAACAAAGTTGGCATGCGGTTGATCTCAGACAGGGTCTACTCAGCGCGGCTGACTGCTAAAGTGCTGCTATATCAGAAGATGACTTTTATCTTTCATGAACAATTAACATTTTTAAACCTTCCCTTTTTTTCCCTTCCCTTTTTCCCCCTCCTCCCCATCTTCCTTTTCACTCCTCTTCCCTCTACCCTGTTTGGTTCCCTTCCAGCCCCAGTCACAGATGTCCTATGAATATATTTAAGATGTTGCCAGAATGTGTTGCTTTGCTGTTAAGCAGAAGACTTGTAGCCACAGTGCACCCTGCTGAGAGAGTCACTTCAGGGGAGGGAGGGTGGGTGGGGAGAAGGCAGCTACTTTCAGACTGAAATCAATATCCATTGCTGGGCCTTTATAAAAGCATTCAACTCTGAAGAGCAAGAGAAACACTTATAACAGCCAGACCAGGGGCCCTCCTCCCTGCAGCTTTTGGCAGTTCTGACTGCAAAGCTGTTTTTTGCGGAGAGAGGACCCTTGAAATTTGACCATTATGAGCCAAATCCATCTCTTTCCTCTCCTGCCTGCTCTGCTAACCCTTTGGAAGCTAGATGTATATTGTAATCTCCCTTAACATCTGCTTGGCTGGGGAACGCTAGTCAATGAAAAGTTAAACCCTCTTCTGCCATAGTCCCAAGCGTGATGGCCTGGGGTTGAGATCCAGTCCCCCACTAGCGTGGAATGTTGGCTGAGGGTGGTATTTCACTAGCAAAGGGGTTGCCTGAACCAAGGACATTCTTCATCTTGTTGTTGTACCTGGAGCCAGTGTGTTGCTGTTGGCTTAGGAATCATTCTGTATGTGGGATGAAGTTTGAGGCTGGGGTGAGGAGGAGAGCTGGGCATAGCTCCTTTCTTTCCATCCCCTTTCCCCTCAGAGAGGCTGTAGCCCGGTGCTGGAAGTGGAAGCTGCTAAGAACCTTGTGGAGCTCTTGAGACTGAGCCATTCTAGCAGGAGTGGGGACACTACATGCATACTCTATCCACGACAGCAAGATTTTGCTCACATGCACAGCGGTGGGGCACGGTCCCCTGGTGATGGCAAATGGCTAAATGCATGTGGCCGTGAGTACGATCAGTAAAGTTAGCAGTAGCTTGAGGATAGATCTACAGCATTTCTGTGGCTGGCTCTTCCAGAAAGCATTAGGAGGGAGAGCCTTTGGTGTGCTTCCCTAACCTATGTGCATGCTGCATTACAGTTTAGGGGCACAAGACGATTAGCCCCTTTACTGATGGGGGGGCTGGATCTTTGCTTTGCAACTGAGGCTTTTGTGAATTGACGTAGTTTAAAAGAGAAAAGTAGCCCTGAAGAGGAGGGACATGGGGAACAATTCTCATGTCTCTGAACTAGACAGAGAGGTCTGGGAAAAACAGCTGTTTCTGCAGAGCTGAAATGGATTGCAGCAGGCCTGCATTTGGATCAGGAAAGATTGTGTAAACCAGTCCCTGGGTTATTGCAGGTTGGGCCCACGTGTTTTACTGTAGATCTTGAATAACCCCCACTGCCTTAGTAGGGAGTTGCTCCAGTCCCACAGTAGGAAATCAGGGCCCTTTGTCTCTGGGCTAGAGAATTTTTAAGCAGAATTAGTAACACCCTCTAAACTTGAAACTTGGCAGATGGGAAATTTTATTTAGCCATTCTCATCAACTTCACTTTGCTGGGGAAACAGTTGCATCGTTTCTACATGCTTGGGATGCAGTTTTTCCACCAATGAAATTTTGCAAGGAGCTGAGCCAAGAGTCCCTAGAGAGCAGTCCAGAGGGCTTAAATCATTTTGGTGACAGCCAAGATGGACAAAAGGCGATGGAGTTATGGAGGAAGGGACAGCCAGTGCTTGCAGAGTAACTGGTACAGCTCTAAAAGCGCGTGAGCAGCAGTGTTAAGCACCCAGCTCCATATAATTTCACTGAGCCCGAAACTACAGCAGCGCTAAAGAGTGTCTCAGAGCATGTGGTGACACTCCTGTTTTCTGTTTGTTTGAACTACTATTTAACTACAGGTTAACTCTGTTAAGTACCGTTGACAGTATGACCTATGTCTGCAACGTCTTTAAAGTTCTGAGTCTCAACCATAAGCTCATCCGCAACTAATTGTGGCACTACTTTCAGGTCTAGGAAGGGTGTTTGGGATTTCAGGCAATTAACCATAGCAGACGTACTACAATCCCAAATCAAAACTGGCTGGGGAGTGTAGAGAATCAAAGTTAACATCCCAGACTTCCCTGAGCTGAAGTTCTGAGTCTTATGTGAACGTCGTTCGTCTAAGTTCAGTTTTTACAAGGTCCGCAGTGTGGTCACCTGTAGGCAGTTTATACAACCTTGGCTGGAGATTTAATAGTCATTTTCCATCCTCAGTTTGTCTCATCATCCTCTGTCTTCTATCTTCAGGTTATTGTAGAAAACAGTGATCTGTCTCCCCAGCCTCTGAAGGCTGCAGAGCTTTGTAATATTCTAACTGCGTCTTTGAGGATAATGCCTGAAAGGAATTCTTTTTTTTTCTTTTTTTCTTTTTTTTTCTTTTTTTTTCTTTTTTTTGCGCAAGTTAAGAGAATTTGGGAAAACTAAAAGACTAGTTGGCCACAGAGACAGCACAACTGCAGATTGTCATAGCCCTGCTGCTCCATGCTGCTGTTTTGTAACTTCTAAACACTGTAGGGTATTTGAGCGGTACTGTAGTTTGAACTCTGTGAACTCTGCTGTATAGAGCTGTTTAAGGTACAGTTTGTGAGCAACAGCTGAAATCCATGTTTGGCAAATGGTAAGAACAGTGTCTCATTGACAAGAAGGGACTGTGTCTGGGTACTTAAATGCAGAATTGCAAAAGGGAGAGGATTCCTACCCCAGTTCCTGAGTTGTACAAAGTTTCTGATCGCTAAGAAGGAAACTGAAGTTAACTGATCTAACTTGAACTTGAATCTGCCACAGCTTGACATTTGCTGGTGTTCATTGTGCACCCAGGGAGGAATGAGTAGATCTCCCAGTGTCAGAAGAAAGTGGCTCTTTCAGATGTCCTCCCTAAGGGGATATGTGTGTGTGTGTGTGTGTGTGTGTGTGTGTGTGAGAGAGTGTGCAAGAGTGCATGTGAGAGAAAGGTTTCAGCATGAATTGAATGGATAATCCCTCAGCCAGGTTAGAGTAATTGCAGATTTTGTAATGAAAAGAACTAGAAGGTGCCTGCTAAAAGGAGATAAAAGCAAGGTTTGGAACTGTCTGTGGGCTGTAAGTGTTGCACATCACTTTGAAATGGAATGAAATAAGATGAAATACCTCTGCTGCGTAGAGATCGTCACTTCTCCCACAGGTAGGAAGCTCACAGTAGCCTTCCCCCTTGGACTATGGGATTGAAAGTACTGGAGGTGTGGGACATTAAGAGCAGGACAATCCATTATGGCCACCCCATCTCCTGCTTGTGACTCCTTTGGCAATGGGGCACCGTTTTGCTGCAGATATTTCTCATCCTCAGAGGAATACAGCTTGCTTTAAAATATGCAAATAGAAAATGACATGAAGGAATTTTGCAGCTGTCTCTTCTGGAGCAGCTCCCTCTGCTCCCCGTTAACCTTCAGGGACAGATACATTCTCTGTTGGAACAGAAGGATTCGGGTGACAATTTTAGAAGCCTGAGATCATCAGAAATGTTGAAATGCTTTAAACTTGTTTCTAAACTGGAAGCTGACTTGGACCACCATGCTCTACCTACCCTCCTCCTGCTCCAAAGGATCCTTTTTTTCCTTTTTCTTTTTCTTTTTCTTTTTTTTTTTTTTTTGGAACACTGAAAAAGCTGGAGAGTAACATGCGCATTTCTCTACTCCCAGGTATGTGTTTCCTGCCCCTGCCATGTGGTCCTTTCTCAGTCTGAGCAGAACTCCAGGCTTGGGACTGAGGTTCTTGGCATCCCAACTCCAATGGGGAGTTGCAGATGTTCAGTGCATCTCCAGGTCGAGCTCTTTGCCTAATTCTGTTAGCTTCCTTTAGATGCCATTTTAGATTTGCTTTTTGTGGCTGACGATTCCTAAACTAGCTTGTGGGGGAGCATTTGTGGTTGACCCACGGTACTAGCTGCTCTTCCTAGCTAGGGAATCTGATGAAAAGGAGCAGCCAGTCTTCCTACTGCACACTAACTCTTAACTGAGGGAGGAAAAGGAGGAGATGACTCATGTGGTTGAAAGCTAGGAGGGGAGTGTGGGGATGGAGATGGATCTCTACAGAAGAGGGGACAATACTGAAAATAGCCTAGCTTGTGTACTTGGCTCAGAGGAAAGGAGGTTTTCTGTGAGAACACTGAAAATCATCAGGAGGTAATGAAGTAATGCCTCCAAGTGCCTGGTCAGTTGATGCCCCCTTTTAGATTGCCCTGGGGCATGAGGAGAGAGGGACAGTCTAAATTACACTGGCCAAGAGAAGAATGAACTTTGCCAGGGTCTCCAAGTGGCATGCATGATGCATCTGACATGCTGAGCGTTGCCCTGCTGCTGTTCCCCCAGAAGCAATAAGCAATAGCTTCTAGAAGGAGAGGGGAACAGCAGGTGACCCAGCTGTCCCCCAAAGGAGGTCTTCATATGAAATCCCTCCTTCCTCCTGCCAGCAAATCCCTGCTGGGTTGATTGGCATGAGGGGCCCACAGTCTGTCCCCACTTTTAATGCAGAGAATTATTTGCTGCAGGAGCAGCCGGTCTCTTGGGTGCGTTCCTTCTCCTCAACCTCAGCGGTGGGTTGAGAAGAAAGGTTGCCTGCTGAGGCTGAGCATTTGACTTCCCCTTCTTTGCCCTTCACCCCATATTTTTTTTAATAAGGTGTAGCCTTCTGGCTACTGGCAAATTCCCAAAGCTTCTTTCCCAGGGTAAGCCTTGACATGCCAGTATGCCAGTATGAATCATCCTTTGTCTTGTCAGAAAATTTTTCTCCTGACTTACTGCTTGTTCCCAAAGACCACTGGTTTTCCCTTTTGCCCGGTGCATATCCCACGGAAGTTGTCACCCGTGATTGATCCTCAGTGATGCTAAGCTGATCCTCTCAAAACTGCGGGGATTCTGATGTACATAGATGTACAACCAGCAAAGATGTCTTTAACATCTGTAACCAGCTCCTAAAATAGGTCCCTTGTTTCAACAGCCTATCACCCTGAAAGTTACAGTGATTTCTGCTCTGGCAGGAAACAAATGCAGCTGTAGCCAGAAAAGCAAGCCTGAAACAGCAACCCTCCTCACACAGCGTCTCTACTCCATGTCTGTATTGTGAATTACAATCGGTTGCACTACAGGCAAAGTGTTTTGATGTGCTAGTGCTGTAGCACAGGTTTACGTATAAGCAAAGCCCCACATGCCGAGGCGTTACTGCTGGAGAAGGGTTGGCCAGCTTATCCCAAGCTGTTTGCAGAGCCAGCAATTGGACTTGTGAAAGGAGCTAGCTGTGAAAAAACTGGGCAGTTCAGTGTGAGATTCTCATGTTGCTTGTGAGAGCGTAACTATGCTTTTGGCTTTTGTCCTTCTCACGTGAGGCATTGCAGCGCTCACCCTATGCACAGTTTTAACATGGCACAAAAATATTTTGGACTTCAATAAAATTGAACTGATCCAGCTTCTCCCAATCATTTTACACCACTACCTTTATCAGAGCTCCATGCCTACCAGGCCAACCTATGCTGCATCACTCCTACCTGCTCAGACTGAGATGGATGTGGAAGTGGGAGAGGTGAGAAAGGACATGGTTTCTCCAGAGTTTTCTGTTTGTTACTGCTATATTTGTTATCTGGATTCTTAAGTAATGAGTGCTTTGAATTTTGTGATTATGTTACGGTGATGTGTAGTTAACGTACTAATGTTCACTTGAGCTAGGATCATGGTAACAGTGTGTTTTTTTTTTTTTTAACTGTTCAGAAAATAACTTAAATACAAATATAAAGATTAAGCTGTGAATCTCTCCTGTTTTCCTTTTGGAGTGAAGGACCTTGTCAAAATATAACGCCTCTGTGTTCTTTGAGCTCTGCTATGTGAGTCACACTTCTGGTGCCGCTGCACTGTACGTGCAACGTTTGCAGCATAAACATCTGGAAGTGCTGCTGCTGTACGGTGGACAGCTTTGCCCCAAGTCCTGGGTAGATGCAGCTTTACATGATGCACAAAATCTACAGTAGTCAGCTCCGTTTCCGAGCTGCCGGATGTCACTCGTTGATGAACGCAGCATAAAAGGCTGCCCTGGCGGTCAGAAGAAACACTTATTCCTAAAGCCACAGCATACTTTTTAATTAAGAAACAGTCTATTCATGGCCAATGGCCTCTAGCTGGGGCAAAAGAGTCCACCTTGTAAGTCAGAAAATGGATGTGACTGACACGTAAGAGCTAAACTGTCCTGCCCGTTAAAAAAGGGGGAGCACGCAAAAGGACTTTATGCTTTTCCGGATACTATTGCGAGCTCCTGGTTGAAGAAGCACAAATTTGTTTCATAAGCTCATCAGAATCCTGCTGCTCAATAATGAGTGAGTAATTGACGTATCTCGGCACCAACGTGCAATGCAACGGCTTGGGACGCTGTCGTGCTTACGGCCAGCCCGAATTTTAACACCAGCAGCCTTGCCCTCAAAACACCTTTCTCCTGGAAACTCTTGCTTTGATAGCAGCCGTGGATCTTTTCATTTTCCTTAACAGCCCCTTTTAAAACAAAGGCTGCAGCAATTTTAAGATCCCGACTCCTAGGGTGGTCAGAAAACAAACAAACGCTGCGCTCCTGCCGGCTCTCTCCCTGCTGGCTCCATTCTTGGGAGCCAGCAGGGGACTAGAGATTGCGAAGCCTCCTGCTTTTCCGAAGCGCTGGGAGCAGGATTCCTGTCACTTCCAATCCCCTTCTCTCCTCCTGACAGGATTCCCAGCAGCCGGGTTTTCGCTTCGGCAAAGGGGGGTTTATATTTACACCACTTTAACCTTTTCTGTCCCCTCCCTGTTCTTTCCTCCCATACGATAATCTTCGTCCATCGTCTTGGTTTGCTCTGTAACGCAGGATGCAGCTTGACTTAAACAGTGTGAGGCTGCCAGTGCACATGAGTGAAACCCCTTACCTTTCGTACTCGTAGTCCCTGGTCTCCTTGCACCTTTTTCTGGTTTCTGTGTTTACCCAAACAGACAACTATCACTCAGTTCTGCGTGAAACCGATTTCACGCCATTTCTTAGTTATTCTCTCTCCTTTTCCCTGATGTTTAAAGACAATGATCAGAATATTTGTTCCAAATTTCTAAGGCTGGGGCAGTGCTCTATTGCAGGGCACAGGCTGGAAAACGTCTTCCAGTATTTCTGGCAACGAGTCCAAAAAACTCAAGAGTTGACGTGCTGGTGTCTTTGAGAAAGAAAAGCAATCTCCATTGTAAATTTCCACTGGAAAAACGAACACCACGGCAGCCTATCTTAAATAGATTCAGTGCTTAATTACCCTTTCTGTTTAAAAATGTGTGCCTTATTTCCACTTCAAATGAAGGAGGAAAGTAATGTTTACCATAGCTTCAAATTAACAGCATATGATCAGCCTACAGCTTAAAAAAAAATATTTGTTTTTATATATTGTATAGATGTGTTTTCAAGAGTATAGTAAGCTTTTGCAAAGGGGAAAGTTGGCCAACTTAGACCTGCTATGCAAATTAATGTAATTCCTACCAAAAATGCTTGGGGTGAATCCAGCAGTTGGATGGTGCTGGGCCTGCTGTGTTGGTTTGAAGAGCGTAGGGCTAGTGAGTCTGGCGGTGGGGGAGGCAGCTCGGCCGAGGACACGAGCCCTACGCGGGCTCTAGTGCTGCCTTGGATGTCTTGTGGACAAGTTGTCACCTTTAGCAAACCCCATGGCTCCTGGCTCAGATTTTTCAAAGGTAGTGTGTAGCAGAGCCTGCCGCGTAATAGCAGACCTTGCGGCATTGAAGGGGGTGTGGAAAGGACTTTGCTTTCAGTGGCAGTAAGACGTGAGGGGTTAAGGGCCTGGCACCTAGGAAGCCGCTGCAGAGCTGGAGGCTCCCACGTGCTCTGCAAGGGCTCCTCCAGCAAATTCCAGTTTTTCTGGCAGCTGCCAGCTGTGGGATCTTCAGAGCTTCTGCTACCCCCACCCAGGCCTGGAGAAACCGGATTTGCCAGGGAAGGAGCACGTCTACATCTGCCTCACACTCTTCTGTCCGACCCCCTGAGGACAGGGGCAGGGTTACCCTGGCTGTCCTCTCCCATTAGCCCTAGGTGCCAGGAAGAAGTGATCCCTCGGAAAGTTTCTCTTTTCCAAGTACTCAAGTTGCTTCACAGCCAACTCACCCCCTGCCCGGGACACTGGCCCAGGAGGAAGGCACTTGAGCTGCCAGAGGGGAAGAGCACCTGAAGAAAATGAGATCCTGCTTGGGCACCATACTCTGCAAATCTGAAGTAACCCCTAATGGGCTGCAGCAATCTGAGGTCCTGCCCTGTGCCTTCCACTGGCTGATCCTTGCTTGGCAAGGACGGCTGTGAGGACATGTGAGCCCTTCTAGCAAGCTCCAGGAAGCATGTGTGTGAGTGCAAGCAGCTTTCCTGTGCTCCAAAAGAGCTCTAATATACATGAATTATATCCCCCAAGGGGTACTCTTGTTTCTCACCGGTTACCTTCCCATCCTGAGCTTCCTCTCATAAGTGCTTTACCAATGTGCACCTGGTTGGCAGGAGCAGCCCTAAATCTCCCTGATCTGCTGGGGACCACCGAAGTTGGATAAGGAACATGAACAGGAAAAGCTGGGTTTGAAAAGGCCTCACCTGTATGGATAAATAGCCTTCCCGCAGCCAGAGAGCAAAGTAGGATGGGTTTCCAACCGGCTGCCAGCAACAGAGCGATGCACGCGTGCTTTGCAAAGATGCTGTGGAACAGACACCAGTGTAAGCAGTATTTTCACAAGAGACAATGCTGGGTTTCTTCTGGAGGCCACCGCTGTTGGCAGAAATGCAAGTCCCTGCTTAACATCACGTGGCTGATGTGTCCAAAACTCTCTGTCCCATGCCCGAGACACCCCGCTGACATTCACAGAGGCAAACCAATGACGGCTTCTCCTCTGGGGGAGACAGCAAGATGGGGAGGCTGCTGAACAGTCTCCGTTTCTCGTGCGTCAACTCAGAAAGGGCAATGCTGGCAAGCTGCTCTGACCTTTCCAGCCGTCTGTGAGCGGCGAGCAGCTCTGCCTGGCGCCGTCACGCTGCGCTCGTGCTGCGGAGGCTCCCTCTTTTCCAGTAGAGTGTGAGCTGTCTGGGCAGAGATGGGGTCCTTGGCTGCTAAGCTATGCATCTCTTCATATTTGAAGCGGCCGTTGCTTCCTCATGGAGCCCGTTCTAGTCCTGGACTAAACTGTGCTGAGCAAACACCAAGGGGCAGCATTGGCAACCATGTCCTTGCTAAGAGATTTCCATCTCACCTTGGAAAAGGGCACGGACGCTCCCAGCAGACCTTTTCCTGCATCTTCCCCAGCCCTACGGAAAGCCTCAGGCTGCATATTTCTCCGCAAGTGATTTATGTCATCGCTGTGGGGCCCCTCGCTGCAGGCTTGCGGCCTGCCGGTGTCCCGGCCCCGGAGTGGCTGCGCAGGGAGGCAGGAGGCTCTGTGCCGCTCCGTGGGGCTGGTTCTGTCCTTCCCTCTGCACCAGCTCCCTGGGGCAGGACGGACTCTGCCTCTGCCTGGACTGCAGGCAGCTGGGCTTTGCTGAGCCCTCGCGCAGCGGCAGGGAAGCGTCCGAGGAACGGGGACGCCTGTAAATTATGGAGACGAGCTCCCTTGGAGCAGGGGGCAGCAGATGCTTCTCACCAGCACGCCCCCATGTTGCTGTCACCCGGTCAGGTCGCAGGACTTTCTCCAGTTAGCTCAGCTCCCTGGGGGCTCTTAATTGCCACCCCAGGCTTTCCTCCTCCTCCTCGTCCACCCTTCCTCTTCCCACCACGTGCTGCTCACCTGAACATCTGCTGCTAAATCTCTGCTCACAGTGTCCCAGTAGCTGCTGTGAACCGGTGTCGATAACCCAGATTTATCCCCTGAATGAAGGCAGCAGCCGCCCCCCTGGCTCAGAGCAGCAGCTGCGGACGCCCCTGCTCAGTGCACCAGTGCTGGAGTGAGGACACAGCAGAGGGGCTGGGATGGAGCTGGCGATGCTGGGGCCGAGCGCTGGGCTGGGTGATGGTGAACGGCGTCTGTGGAGAGGGGATGGGAGGCTCCTGGAGGGGTTTAGGGGGGGATTTGCCAGGATGGCTCAGGAAGGGGAAGCCAGGCTCCCGGAGGGGGACACCACCGGGGAGCCAAGACTCGGGATCCCAGGCTACATCACATCGGTAGCTCTCTTGACCTTGTTGGCTCCTCGTCTCTCTCCAGCTCCCCAGCAGGGACCAACGGACCATGTGCATTTAACCCTCTGGGTGCTGGTCCCAGGGACGAGCTATTTGCCTGGACAACTGGAGCGGCGGGACAGCAACCAGGGGACGCAGCAGGGCCTGGCTTATTGCCCCATGCCCTGAGTTGCTGCTCTGCCCTTTCTGAGTGTGGGGCCTGGGGTGAGCGTCCTGGGGGCGAGCATCCCCCGGCTGCCCAGCAGCATCCCCGCTCGCTGCCGGAGGCGCTCTGCGCTGGCCTCTGCCCCCGCCGGCCTGTGACGGGGGGAGCGC